CCCCCCCCCCCCCCCCCCCCCACCATCTGCGATAAATATTAATCTGTCTCTCATGTAAAGGTGAGACAATTACATTTCTTATTAACATCAAAATACTCGATACAAAATTATAACTTACTCGCAAAGAGTGGTGTCCGATCTGTTAGCCATAAACTTATCATGGAAAGTTTTCAAACACGCTTCTGTGTTGTTGACAAACACTCTTGAGCAGTACCCTTTCAGAGTGCTTGCATGCATAGGAACGAGAAATTCACCCAGAAAGGCCTCTTTACACATTTGGTCCTCTCTGATGCCTGCACGTAACCAATCATCCAACGTCATGTTGAATAAGTCGCTTGGATACACTCTACCACAAATCTTGTTCGACATAATAACGCAAGCTAAGGTTTCGTTGTACTGAACTCTGCAGTAGAAAAGATGGAAACGCTTGTTTTAGGCCTAGGATTGCTCAGGCTTTAGCTATTTGGAGTTCATTAATTTGGAGTTAGAGTGGACAGTGGGGGTAGGAGGTGGGGGGAGAGCGAAAAGATCTTCACTCTCCCACCCCCTCTCCTTATTTTTGACTGTCGACCGCCCCCTTGGTACACTGATTTATTTCTCTCCCCACTTCCGCTGCCATAAAATCAAAGCACTCGCTCGCCAAAAGTACGTCTGCTCTGCAGGCTAGCTTATGTGAGGCATCATCCAAATCTGCAAGAGAATTATGATAGTTTTCCAGAGTGATCTATGGCAAAAGTTACCCAATGTCAAAAGGGTGTTGTGGAACTTTCTCGAGCCATCACATTTAGCTAGTTTTATTTTTCCTTTTCTTTCCCTGAGGGAGAAATTTTTGAAGATTCTGCTCTCTTCGTCACTGAACCCTTCATTGAAAAGAAGCAGAGCTAATACTGCTAAAAGCCGCCAACCTCAAGTTTCTCGGGGTCAGCAATGCTTCGTTTGATGCGAGGTAATAACAAAATTAGACAATATCAACACAATTATGCTCTGATCGCTTCCGGTGATTTTAGTTAATTTCAGCTTTTTCTCT